TTTAATGACGACATCTCAAGGCCGTCACCCTTTTCTCTTGTCCGTTGAAAGAAAAGGGAAACTCGAGATCGTTGATCTTAAAGACTGGACGAACGATGTCGACTCTGCGTTTCGCAATCATATCGTGGTCCCCTGGCACCATGCCCAGCGTCCCATGGCGCGAGGACTGATGTACCAGGTTTTCTCCTGATGCCGTTTACTTCAGGTTATGACAAGAGACACTGTAAATGCAATTCGATTTGATGTTTCAAACCCCTCTTACAGGATGTACCGGAGTGGCAGCGCGTTCGTAGACTTGTTGTGAAGTGTAGGGCGAAGGACGGTGGAACCCCCTGAGGACAACTCCGCCAGCAGCTAATATGCGGCGTTGGCGTTGACGATTGCGTACCGGCATTTGTCTACTGTTTGTGGACATGAAGTGCAATCATCTTCTTGTATTTCTCTGTTCCCCCTGTCCAATGCTACTCCCAAGAACAATTGAACAAAAACCATTCAGCGGGAAACACCCTACCACACTAACATGTAAGCACCATGAGTCAGTGTGTAACTGTGTGAGAGGAGTCAGCAGGAAGGGGGGGGAGGATGTGCACGCAAGAGAGAGAGAGAGAGAGAGAGAGAGAGAGAGAGAGAGAGAGAGAGAGAGAGAGAGAGAGAGAGAGAGAGAGAGAGGTGACAAGGAAGTGGAATGAAGAGTGATAGAAAAGCAGTCATCAGCCAAGACTTGCAACACTCCAAGTGGACACACAGTGACAGAGGGCTGCCGAACAAAGATCCGCAAGAAAAACAACGACAGCACAGAGCAGAGGGAATCAAAGTCCTCTTCAGAACCTCCATCTTCGAATTCCCCCTTCGCAGCCACCCCTTTCTAGGCAGGGTTGAGACCATACAGAAACTAGGCAACCAGAAATCTGAGCCCTCTAAATCATTCTCAATGAGGCTGGCCCTAAAGAAGCTGGCCATATTCCTCGTCGACAGTGCGGCCACCATCACAATTGCCATCAGCACTCCCAGCTAGCAGCCCCTACTGCACAATCCTTCTTCTCCATATATCATTTATTCGAACAAAACAAGCGCACAGTCTGCAGATTCTGCACAATCTCTCATCTTCATTTATCGTTTATTTCATCAAACCAAACACACTATCTAGATCTACACTCCCATCCTTTGTTCCCCTTCCTCCCAATACTCTCTCTCTCTCTCTCTCTCTCTCTCTCTCTCTCTCTCTCTCTCTCTCTCTCTCTCTCTCTCTCTCTCTCTCTCTCTCTCTCTCTCTCT